TCTTGACTCTGAGGAGGTATCGATTGGATCCGATGAAGGAATGTCGCCACTATTAGGGGTAGGCGTTCATTGTTCATCCCAAACGATGCAAATTTTTTAGAACATAACTTAATTATCCCCTGATATAAGCTATCATGACACTATCTGGTCATAGAAGACTTGAGAATGACATATCCATGAGGTATGACCCTGCATATGTCTTTTGGACTCATTTTAGTATGTCTTCCTTATGTCCCTGAGATGTCTCTATGGCACAGTCCAAAATTTGAAACAAATGGACATGACCTTTAGACATATAATAGACTAAGGGTATATGATGTCCTTGCTATGTCTAGTCTTAAATATGTCTCTTGGCTCGTCAGGGCTCAAAGGGAGATAGTTTGAAAGGAGAACACGCAACTAAACTTCTTTTGGAGGCATGCAAAGAACACATCAACAAGAAAACCAAAAAATTTGTTGGCACAACTGATGTTTTTGATGCCGTATCTGAGACATTACGATTAGTCCACAACATGAAAGTTTTTGTTGTGCAATGCTCTGATAGATATAGAAGCCTAAGTAGGTACTATTCAGATGAAAAGAAGAGTGGTACCTCTAAATGGGTCCATTTTAATGATATGGCCATCCTGAAGGGAGATCCTGTTGTAAGTAAGAGCAAGAGCCCACAAAAGAAGCTGGTCAGCCCAAAGAAAGTCATTGTTACCAAAGCAAAAAATTTGAAGTATAAGCCTGGAGGCAAATTAAATAATAAGAAAAATTCAAATGGTAATAATGAGATGTGAGTTCATTAACTGAGTTGGTACCTCACTTTTATTAGGAGTTTCATCAATTGTTACTGTCTCTTTATTTTTTGCAGAGTAAAGTGGACTTACGAGGCTGTTTGTCTCCTCATTCATCTGAGAAAGACATTACAGCCAAAGTTTGACAGCAGTACATTCCGAAATGGAGCTCTGTGGGAGGAAATCTCGTTAGGACTTAAAACTGCAGGCCATGGTGAAATCAATCCAAAACAGTGTGAGGATAAGATTTCCCGGCTAGTGGACGAGTATAAGACATATAGAGAGATAAAAAAAAAGACTGGAAATAACACACCCAGCTTCCACTTTCTCCAAGAAATGGAAGCTTTCATTGGGGAATGGGTTACTGTCGAACCAGACATAACTTTTTCATTTGGTTGTTACTCTGCCGTTGGTGGTAGAAAAAGCAATCTCATCAACAAATTTGATGAAGATGAGCAAGATTGACCAAAAATTTGTTTTAATCAAACGTACATATAATTTTATTGAGAACTATATTTTTTTATGATCAGTACTACTTCATCTGAAGTAAACTTGATTGTCAACTTATGTATGTGATGAGGAAGATGAGGAAGATTGACCAAAAATTTGTTTTAATTGAACATATACATAATTTTATTTAGAACTATATTTTTTCATGATCATTACTACTTCATCTGAAGTAAACTTGATTGTCAACTTATATATGTGATGAAGATTATTGACCAAAAATTTGTTTTAATTGAACATTTACATAATTTTATTTAGAATTATATTTTTTTATAATCATTACTACTTCACCTGAAGTAAACTTGATTGTCAACTTATGTAAGTTACATTTTTTACATTTCAGGTTTTATTTTTGAACTTGTTACAAGTTTGATATCCTGACTTAAATTTGTATGCTACATATATCGTAGAATAATAATTTTTGAATTGCATTACTCGTATTCTTCTGCAAGCTGGAGTCTTATTTGTTGGCGTCTTCTATACCCCTCTTCTTGGCCAGCTACTATGGCATCGTGTACATTAATTTCTGGCAATTCTCCTTCCAGAACAATGCCATCCTGAAAATATGTACGGTCCAATTAAATCAATTAGTATGCAAAATGAAATACAGAGATAGACTCTGGCCTTACTTGCTCTTCTCCCCGGAGTAAAATGAAGTTATGGAGAACTGCGGAGGCTGCAATGTGCTTGTTGGTCCTAACAATATTTTTACAAAACAATTTCTCTGTTCGAGCCATCCTGCTCTTAAATAGAGAATTTGTCCTTTCAATAGTAGCTCGACACTGAGAAAGTTTGAAATTGTAGGTTCTGTGGCTTTGATCGACGTTGCCATCATTTCTGTATGGGACCAGCATCTGGATGATACACAAGAGCTTGAATTAATACACTAATTTATAAATGTGTATTACAGCCAAAAGATAAATTTTACCTTTTCAGTGCACATGTAACCACCATCCCCAATCAGGTGCTGATTTGGTCCCAACAAATCATTTCTGCTGTAGAGGGCATGTGCTAGGGGACTCCTCCGGAAAACTCTAGAGTCATGAACAGAGCCTGGCTGTCCAATGAAAATATCATTGATCACCCGTTTATGGTTGCACACTATCATTACATTGATGGAATAATCATGGTTTTTATCAACGTATCTCTGTTTCTGTTCTGAGGGAGCTGTAATCCGAATAAGGGTCCCATCAATTACACCAGCCACACCAGGGAACCCAAAGTTGCGACGGTAGAATAACTCTGTCTGCTGCCTTTGCCTAATATTGGGCCACTTGATATATTTGTGGCCAATGCCACATAATGCATTGAGAAGAATCGTGTACTGGTTGTGAATGTGTTTCCTGTCATTTTCATAGTTGAGGCCAATACTGCGGAAGGTATCTTTATTGAAGAGCACCCATAGACCCATGGCTGTTGATTCACCAACATCAGTCCGGTTCCTTTGCAGCTTTCCAGTTCGCAACCTTTCATGAGCAACTGCATGCACTAAAATCTAAGACAAAAAAAAACATTCAAATATGTCAGGTCACTCCGTGAAAAAAAAATTGGCAAATGTAGGAATCATTTCAGCAAAAGACACGCAACATTACCTCAAATGTAGCTCTGTCCATTCTAAAATGCTCTTTAAACTCAGGGTCTGGCAAATTCCTGATCATAGATGCTCGAGTCTCTGCATATAATTAGAAAGGAAGGTATCAATATATATCCTGTTAAGATACACATATGCACAAAAGATACATGCTCCATTCCATACCATGACGATCTCGTCTCTCAGCCATCGCTTACACCAGATAAATTGAACAGAGTAACAACAACAACTAAATTCAATTCCAATGTTGTGGACTGTTCAACAATAAAGATGGAGGGACGATGAACTTTGTATTTTCCTCCATAACACCTTCCCGCTCTTTTCACACCGGCAAGGCAATATCAACAGTCACGTTCTTCTTTTGTTGATCGAAACGCGAATGTGAATTTCAATACGCACAACCAACCTCACTCGCGCACCGCCTCCCAGAGACCGACTCGGTCGGACTCGCACCCCGTCGGACTCCGACTTGCTCGGAGTCCCTATTTACACATCCTCTAGGTTTTTGTAAGAGGGTCATCCTGAGTCCGGGGTGATCGGTCTCTTCTTAGAAACTCCCTCGTCGGACGCAGACTTTTTGGTCTAAGGCTTGTTAATTTTGTCTTTCTTGTTCTTCGGTGCTGCCCCCCCCCCCCCCTTTGATCGCCGACCGGAGGTGCAAGGGAAGGTTAGGGACGGTTCAAATTTCCCGCGCGATCCACGGACAACCGCACAGCACGGCCGCCGCGACCGAACCTCCAGGAGGGGTGCTCTGAAACAATTTGGGAAGCGGAGACGAATGCGGACGCGGAGCGAAACGAACAGAAGGTGCGAAGAGCCATAAGAGCCCATGCGACTCTCCGCTGCTCTCCGCGTTCGCTCCGCGTCCGGATCCTTCTCCGTTCGCAGGATTATTTCGGCGCGCAACCTGCAAATAATCGTCAACTTCATACCTTCCAATAGTCACGGAGCTAGACTGCGAATAAGGATCATTGAAAAAGAGGGAGGGGAGGTGGAGATACAGCTGATCGTGTGATGTGTTCGTAATTTTCTTGTCGTTTAAGCGATGATTTTCAAAATATTGTGTATTTATCTTTACTCAACAACTTCTAGTATGTCCGATCTTCTGTAGCGAATTTTAGATTCAATTCTAATCGCAATTATTCATATTTGGCTAAGTTGAGGCTCCTTGAGAGGTAAGCTGAAATATTTTCAGAGAAAAAATGTACTTCAACACATTTCTCTCTGAAGTGTCTACCGGTTAAGTTCTATACCATGGAACAGACCATGTGAATATGTTTCCAAATTTTGTCCGTTCGATTATCCAATAACCATTTGGTTTAGGTTTATATTATATTCGTTTTGTTGTGAATCAATTCTGCTCTCAGAACCTCACTTTATTTTTCATGCTGCGCAAATTCAGTTTTTGATGTAGATGTGAAATTACCATTGAATATAGCTCTAATTTTACAGAGTGTTTTCTCTGTAAACTCTAGATCTCATTCATTTATTTGATACATGATCTGTGTCTGTCCTTTGAATGCAATAGCAGACGACGTTTGCTCTACATAACCCCATTTTTATGTCAAAAATTTACATTTAATTTATACTTCTACCGTTCTTTGCCTTCTACCAGGTACTCAAAAATTTCAAAATGTCAGCTGGAACAAATTTGGTAGTGCCTGTTGTTTTGTGGGGGAAGTCGGCCCCAACTCATTGTATATCATGCATATTCTTGTCACGAGATCAGCGCACTCTAGTTACGGGCTGTCATGATGGGCAAATATGTTTGTGGCAAGTCGATCCGGACACACTACAGGTAATATCATAGTAATGCATTTTAGTTTTACTTTTTTTTAAATTTAAATGTAATTACTCTATAAGTTTTCTGTTGTTTCAGATGATTCCAAGATGTTTACTTGTTGGGCACACAGCACCAATTCTTTGTTTGGCCCGTGTATCAGTCGTATCTGACAATAACTACATTGTCAGCTCCTCAGAGAGTGGGTAAGATACCCATTAGATTTTTCTAATTTCAGCCAACTTCACAAAAAGTAAGTTATAATTATGAAATTCATGTGTTTTTACAGAGAGATGTGCACTTGGGATCTTGTTGATGGAAAATGTAGAGAAGTTGTGAAATTGCCATATGTCCACACAAATATGCAGGTCAGTATCAACAGAAGTGAATGCTATATGCATGCGTTTTAGCTAAATTGTCTAATCAACTACATTTTTGAACCACAATTGTTTAAACTATTTCTAGGCATATCACATGTGTGGAAGTGACGACATCAGACTATTTTGTAATGGTTACTATGCTGAAGTTTTAATTATGGATCCATTTAGCCTTGAAGTATTGTTTACGTTATCAAGTCGGATGTCACCTGATTGGATTTGTGCTCTACATGTACTCCGCCCAGCCAAGAGGAAAGGTAAAAAAATGTAGCTTGTTTCTTTTCTTGTCTTCTATTCTTGTTACTTTCCTACTTTTCAGTTTTTGTGTACATTTTCATATGGAACTGCCGGTTATTGTTTTCTAGATGATGTCATTCTGGGCCTTACAACTACTGGCATGGTTAAAGTGTGGACCCTTCAAGGCAATGAATCCAAAGCAACTGAACCACATTATGAACATGAAAGCAAACAGATACGGTGTTTGAATGCTCTTTCTATGAGCTGCTGTGGAGGAAACCAAAGAACTGTTGTTATTGTTTGTGCTAAATATTGGCAGGTCAGTGTTGCTTAAGAGTTTTTATCTTTTCTTGCTTTGTTTGTTTGTTTAAAAAATTATTTTTTTGTTTGGCAGATATATGATGCTGGAGACTTCTCTATTCTATGTAGTGTTCAGGCCCCAAGATCTGAACGTTGGATTAGTGCAGATTTCCTTTCGACCGATCGTGTTATTGCCTGGAGTGATGAAGGCAAAGGATACATGTACAAACTTCCCGCAAAGTAAGTATGGTATACATTTGATAAAGCTTATGCTAGCCTTCAAAACATATGTAGTACATTTTTTATGAGAAAGTACAGTATACATTTTGTTGTCATGTGATGGAACAAATTTAAGCAGTATGAGATACAATGGGGAAAGTGGAGAGACATTAGTGATAATTCAATGCATTTCTAATTGCAAATTTTCAATTTCTTGGTCTAAATTAAACACTTTATGTCCAGTCCAGCTCCTCTTTTTGCGTCAGAATTATTCATTTTATTTCTTATGTGTATTGTGAAAGTAAAATGAATGTTTTTTAGAGGCACATGAAGCTTTATAGTGTGCACCTAGAGATTAAACCAATACTTTATGATTGTGATTAGACCTCTGCCATTGTGGTTGGTTCTGTGAAAGGGTTACCTCATACCAGATCACAATTACGCTTTATCTTACACTTTTTTTTTTCAATCTAGTTTAACAGGAATGTTTGAAGTCATATGGTTACCAAAGGCTTTGATCTATCCATCTATATATTGGTTCCAACCCCACTATGGCATTGTGCTCCCACATTATAGTATTTTTGTATTTGTAAAAGCTTTAATTGCATGTCTTTTCCACGTGTCTTCATTTGATCAGTTATTAGGAGAAGAAAAATTTAAAGTTGGGGATGGTGGAAGTTTAGCTTAATGAAAGACATACAGCCTATAGCACTTTTAATTCTGCTTGTACAGAAATCACAATTTCTCATTGTTCCTGATTCCTGAAGATGTTCATGTCAATCACAGTTTAATCTTAATGGTGTATAGCAATTGTGTTTTTCCATTTCTGACATTTTTTCATGTTCTTTTTTTTTGTTATTTATCAATTTGGGTGTGTCATCATGTTTCAATTTCCCACTCACTCTCAACTGTTTCACCACCAACCTTACTCGGAATTGTGGATCCTACTCATGGTTCTTGGTACTGTAGGAAGCTGAAAGGACTTGTGTTTAGGTTGGTAGCTATTGGTTAAATTGAACATTTCCAAAACCCCTACCCATTTGTTTTTTATCACTTTGACCTCAGTCTGTGTGCTATCATTCTAACTGATCTTTGCATGTCTGTTATACCCTCTGTAGTTCTTTATAGCTTTGAACAAAACAGATATCTATTCAAAAATCTTAATATCTTGATTTAAAAAACGTTGAATGAAGTGAAGGAATCTAAGAGTAATAATTTGATCTGGGATTCAAGAAGTCTTTCCCATTTTTTCTAGTTGATTGCTTAACTCATCTCACATTTCACATCTCACTACATATCAATTTTTAAATATTCTGTTGTTTTCATTATAGTAAGAACTTTCAAAAGAAAATTTTGCACTACTCCTATCAAGTAGAACACTTTGGTGTACTAATGGTAACAGTCTCTTTTTCCTCTTAACCATCATGTGTAAAGGTTACAGACTCATTTAGGAGTGTAATTAATTAATGATTAGAATGAAGTCTTGAAACAGCACCAAAGACCAATTTTTATTACTTGTTTTCACTTGTTTTAAAAATACCTACCGTATGTCTCCTGTACCGTACAGTCTCTACCATTATATAACCTTTATTAGGGGGAAATAGGTCATTTGTATGCTTTCAATTTCTGTAACCTTATTTATTCTATTAGCTTTACTTTTGTTTTGCAGAACTTAGCTTTCATAAGTGTATTATCATCAAAAGAAAGAACATATTTTGTAGACTGCTTGCTCATTCTGTTACTGTAACTCCAATGCAAAATATTTTCTTCATTGTACATTTTACTGTCACACTAGTTAGTTCTAAGATTTTGCATGCTGTTTGCACTCAGAGTACTGTGCCGCGACTGTACCCCTGCTTTCTTTAGAAAGATTCATGATTTGATTTATTGATAAAAGTAAAGGATGGCGAAAAGTCAAGTCAAAGCTCATCTTTAAGGGTAGGCTGTAGTGTTGAGTGCTCTTTGTGTTTGAATCTGATTTTGTGTGTGGATAAGATCACAAAATTTTTACTTGGCTTCCTGTTTTAATCAACAAAAACAAATTAAAAATAAAATAATCTCCCAATTTTAATTCCTTTCAATGTCTTACAGCTCTGTTGCTGACAACAAAGAATTTCACTCTGCAGCCACAGAGAGTGATACACCTTTCCTATATTGTGTTTTGGCGGTTCCAAATGATAGAGTGAGTAGCAATACCAAACATTAATTATTTTCATAAAACTTTAATCATTTATTAATGCCTACCAATTGATTGCAGCCAATGTCTTGTCCCCCTGCAATGCGTTACCATGAAGTTTCCCGAAGCGGGAAAGTTCAGAAATATCTTTTAAGAGGTGATTCTGATGGTGCTGTGGTAGTGTGGAATATTCCAGAAGTCACTAACAGCCAGCTTGCTCAAATCAAACAAGAAGAATTTGATAAGCCACCAGGTGTGTATCATCTGTGTCTTCTAGGGCTATCTGTCTGCCCTCCAATCTCTTGCTGTAATGTAATTTTTGCTAATAATTTCTTGGCAATATGCTGTCAATTTTGTTTTCTATTATAGGTATGCCTCCAACAATGTCTACAAGTTTAACGAAAGCCTGGGCAGCAATGCAACCTTCCCCTGTTGGGATACTTGATCAGCTGGTAACACATCTCTTGTCTTAAAATCATATAGGAAAATTCAAATCCACCATTCATGTTTTCTGTTTGATGTTAATAGGAGCGGGGAGGAACACCAAGGGTACCATTGACTGCAAGCATGTACCTACCACAGCAAAGCCGTCTTGTTGTTGGAAGGGAAGATGGCTCCATTATCATTGTGCCAGCAACACAGACTGTGATGTTGCATCTACTGCACGGAAACCATCAGCAATATGATGGTACGAGTACTGTGTTTTTAAAGTTCACTCTAATTCCACCTGTTTCTCTTACTTAATGACTTGTTATTTTCATTCTAGATTGGCCCCCACACCAAAGATTAATTGGACATGTTGGGAGAGTGAATTGTTTGTTGTATCCTCATCTTGTACATCCCCGATATGAGCGTGCTCATCTAGTGTCTGGAGGTGTTGATTTTGCGGTTTGTCTGTGGGATCTCTACAGTGGTACCTTGCTTCATCGTTTTTGTGTTCATGCTGGAGAAATAACTCAACTTCTAGTTCCTCCTAATAATTGTAGTGTGAGTACAGTAATGTTTGTTGCAGGTTTATTTTACCATACATCTGTACTTTGCTATATGGAGATCAATTCTAAAAATTCTCTTTAACCATTTTAGACTAGAGTTCAAAAATGCATTTGTTCTGTGGCAAGTGACCATTCAGTAACACTACTGGGCCTAACGGAACGCAAGTGTGTTGTATTAGCATCCCGTCATCTTTTCCCTGTTGTAACTATCAAGTGGAGACCTCTGGATGATTTTATGATTGTTGGATGCTCTGATGGCTCAGTTTATGTGTGGCAAATGGAAACAGGTAAGTGTTGCGGATTTTGAACTTGATGCTCGACGTAGAAGTAAAACTATATCATGTAATGGTATGCACTTGTCTGTACAGGCCACTTAGACCGAGTTCTTCATGGTATAAGTGCTGAAGAAGTCCTTTATGCCTGCGATGAGAATACATCTACGGCAACAGCAGGAGACAGTGGCCTGGCTAATCCAGCTGTTCACTTTTTCCGTGGTCTACGTCATAGAAATCTGTCTGCTATTCGACATGCTACCCAGGTACTGACCCTGGTTAAGTTTCCCTGTGCAAAACTTAATATTTTTGGTCCAATACATTAAATTACTCCAATACCATTTGTATTTCAACTGTGTTTCAGAGAGGAATTCATCAACTGCAGCAGCTCTCTCACCACAATCAACAAGATGGGTCCCTCCAGCAAAAAGGTCGAGCTATGCCTCTTATGATTCAAGGTCTGAGGACCAACCCAAAAGATCCTGAGAGTCATATTCTGTGTTTTGACATTGAAGCTCTGATAGGTACGTATGATCTTTACATTTATTTGATTATATGTTTTGTCTTGTGGTCATTATTTGTCTATGAATGTAAATGTGTGGGCATATGTGTGAGCATTATGTTTTCTGACTGTCATTTATGAATACCAATATGATCCTGTTGCAAGTACTTTTGGGATGATAAGATATTTATGTGCCTCTTCTTGGGATGTTTTGCATGAGGGGTTGTGCAGTCATAGCACTATGTGTCAGTATGTACAATGTGATTGTCTATTCCAAAATGGTGAAGATATGTACAAAGTGTTCACTGGTAGTTTCATCATAACTGTCTGCCTTTTGAGTATACTTCTTTCTTATATGTCTTACACAATTTAATATGGGATGTACCTAAGTGTTTTGGAGGAATGCTTGGCTTGGGTCTGAAGTGTAAGTTAGGATTATGAATCTGATAATTAAGATGGTATGTCACTATAATGTACAGTGGAGCTCCTAACGGAAGAATATGGCGCCATGTCACCTGGGAGTCTTGAGGCACAAGGACTCATCAACCAGTCAGAATATGAGAAGGTGTTTGCACTTACTCAATCTGCTTCCCCTGATGCGGGCAAGAAGATAGCGGGTGAGAAAATTTTTAAGCAATGTGCTCAGAAACTTGTCTAATGGTTTGAAATATGACTGAGGGAAACTAGGAACAACCTCTACCACGTGCACCATTAGAAAGTTTATGTGTACTGATCTTATTCATTTGAGTTGCTCTCTGCTGCCTGCATCTCTGTCTTCTAACACCATCTCTCTTTATATGCTTGCAAACATCTCAGACTTCTTTGGTCGTGTAAAGGACAAAGCAGGCGACCTGGAACGTTCTTTGAAGGAGAAGGACCGTCATGGTAAAATTTAAAACAGCATAGATTCTTGCATAGACAATTTGATCCATCCATTTTTCTCAGTAGGCATGGTTTGAAGTTTTTTTCAAAAGTAACACAACATTGTAGATACAATTTATCTCTAATTCAGGTTTGAATTCTAAACTTTGGAGCCAGTATATTTTTAAGTTTAATGCTTGCATTAAATTTATTCTTTTCCAAACTTTCTATCCAGTCAGTTGTTGATTTTAAAATTTGCTGTACCCCTCTGAATTTATACGTTATTGTTATTATGATATCAGCTTGTTATTTTTATCTCACAAGCATAATTTAGCCCAAAACTACACATTGTTTCTATCCCCTTTAACACTATACATCACAATATTATTTATTCATTTGAGATTTACATTTGATTTTTCTGTACTTAAAACCCACATTCCTAAACTATTCTTATAAAATTCGTCCTTCTGTATAATTGCTTATGTGCTGCTATAAGTGTCCCATCCTCTTTGAGTATGTTGTATGTAATTTTGGTGTGAACTTTTGCTCATTTCCGAATGTGTGTTCTTCCTTTCTCTTTTCACACTAACTAGACCTCTTGGGCCGTGTTAAGGATAAAGCGGGTACCTTCGAACGATCTATCAAGGAGAAGGATCGACATGGTAAAATTATGTATTATTTGACAGAGTGTACATATTATCTCTAGTGCAAATGCACTGTCATAATTTACATTTGCCAACCACTGAGAAATATATAATAGATCTAGTTCACAAGCCCAATTCACTTCTGCTAGCATGATATGGTCTTCTGCCAGTCACACAACACTTTCTGGTCTTATATGTTTGAGTTTTAAATTTGTTCCTAGATTGATAAATAATCACCAAACCACTAAGTAAATTGTGACTTTGATTTGACTGTTGACTGTGGCATGACTGTCGAAAATGCAAAAGTCTTCCTTTAACAGGGAGTAGCAGGAGGCTACTTGTGCAGGAAGTAATTTTTTAGATATTAAAAAACTACTTACAGATTAGTGTAAAAAGCAAGTATTTTTGAGCACAGACAATGTCATGGCCAACAACATGCTGATGAGAAGCTTACACACATTCACAGTTTTAATAAAATAGTAGCACTCTCAAAGTAGCTTGTCATCAGGAATGGTCGTAGATAAGCCAACTTATCTTAATCAACTAATTAGTAGAACTCAAGACTAGTTGCTTATTTTAGACAAGAGTTTCTAGAAGAATGTAATAAAGTTTTCTACATACTAGTTAAAATTTGTTTTTGTTGTTGTTGCATGTGTTTTTTTTTTGTTTTTTTTTTTTTTTTGTTTCTTGTGTTTTTGGTGTGTGTTTGTGCATGAATTGCTTTAAAATTGGTATGTTATTTTGCACGTATTAAACTTTAGAACCTGATAATGCCTGTGCAACGCTTCTAATCATTGTTTTTCTGTTTCAGTTCATGTATTTTTTTTTCTTTTAGAAAATACCCCAACACATTCAATTTTTTATCTCAATTTAGTGGGTAATGAATTTTGTTTTCCGTTTCTCAGGGATCCTCGCTAAGATGAAGGAAGGCGCTGAGACAATGCAAACTAAAATTCAGGCCAAAGCTGAGAGTGTTGGCCTCCGAGCATCTGACAAGTCGAGTGAGTAACAGTAACCTTATTGGGTGCAAGGTTGGAAAATGACACCAAGACGTCTTTTTTAAAATTGTGATAAATAAGTTTTTAGCAGACTTAGTTTATTTTCGAGAGGAACAGATCGGACAGAATTGACAAGATATAAGAGAGGGCCGAGCGGGCTCGAGGCGCGCACCGCCCCGTCATCAGGTCGTCGCGCCGCTTGCGTTTGGCACCAAAACAAAAGACTAGTTGCCAGTAGGAAAGGGCCTAGGTCGTCTTGGCGTCAAACTGGAGCGGTGAGACATGTTCGATGAGAAGCCTAGTCCACGCGGTAGGAGACGGCGTGGCCGGGGGTGTTCACGACGGTGGTCTGGATGGCGTCACGGAGGACGGGGCCAGCGTGCACAGCGGTGACAGCGGGGGCGGCCGAGTATGCCAGGGGAGCGGCGATGGCGGGGGCGGCGTAGGCGTGGGCGATGGGGGCGGCGTAGCTGTGGGCGATGGTGGTGTGGGCAGCGGAGTAGGCCACGGGGGCGGCGGCGTAGGTGTGGGCGATGGCGGGGGCGGCGTAGGTGTGGGCGATGGCGGGGGCGGCAGCGTAAGCCAGAGGGGCGGTGGAGGCTGGGGTCTGGAGCAGAGCGATGGAACGCTTGGCGATGCGGTGCACACCGTGGGCGGCAAGGTGCTGAGCCTTGGCGATGGCGACCTCAGGGGTGTCCTGGACGGGGAGAGGCAGACCGGCGGCGGCCACGGGCAGGGCGTTGGAGGAGACGCGGTAACCCAGAGCGTCGGCGACGTAGTCGGTCCTCAGGATGCGACCGTCAGGGGCGGTGTAGCTGAAGGAGCCGACCTTGTTGCCGAAGGCGTCCTGGAACAGAGATTATGGTTGTTGAGGACCATGTCTTGCTACGCCATCATACGGTGTCCTCAAGCTGCACTCCTCACCTGGACAGCGTTGTGGGTCTGCGACGGTTCGGAGTGTCCATAGCTGGCCTGGCCGAGCTCATCCTGGGCGTGGTACTGGCTCTTGTGGGCGAGGGGGGCGGCGGCCACGGCCACGGGGGCGGCCACGGCGTGGGCAGAGTACGCCAGGGGGGCGGCAGAGTAGGCGGGGGCGGAGTACGCCAGAGGAGCGCCAGAGTAAGCCAGGTTGGCCGCGGGCCAGGCGGAGTACGCCAGGGGCTGGGCGATGGGGTGGCCCAGAGGGGAGGCCCAGGGAGCGGCCGCCGAGTAGGCGTAGCCGTTAGGGATGGCCCAGGGAGCCAGCACCTGGGGCTTGGCAGCAGCGCAGGCCAGGGCGGCGCACAGCACAATCTGCAAACCGAGATCACTTATGTTACTTTGTCACCGACGATGGACCGGATCGAGCCGGAGGGAAGGAGTCACAGTCACTGCACTGCTCACTCCAAGACTCACCAAGAACTTCATGTTGAGGGTTGGAAAGTCTTGTTGTCTCTGTGCTAGGACTCAAGCGAATGGTGCCGGTCTGGGAGGAACCCCTGCGTTTTATACCGGCGCTGGCTCCGCCGTGGTCTCCGGGGAGAGGCGCGTCTCTGCTCCGGGAGCCGCGCGGGAGAGGGACTCAGGGAGGGAGGGGGAGGACCTGGGGCGGGGCAAGCATCGCGTGGCCCACCGCACCGCGGCCCACCCGGCCCCGGGCCCCGCTCGGACCCGTGCAAGGCGAAGGCCGCCGTCTACCGTGTTGGGATAGGCAGGAGCCGCCCCCCCCCCCCCCCCTGCCCCCTCCCCCCCCCCATGCGGCCCTAAACCCGATCAGGACGCACTTCCTTCATTCTGAGCGTCTACGCCTCTGTGTCCGCGCGCCACCGCCGCGCAAAGTCTGCAAGACCCGGCCTCACCCCGCCACGCCCCGCGCCGTGTGCTCCAGCAAGGGCCTGGCGGGGGACGACGACCCGGACATGGCGGGGCCTGCTGGGCTAGGGACTTGGGCTCGGTGGGCACCTCTCCGCATGGCAGGTGAGCTCTGCCCTTCGCGAGAGGCCCCTCGGCCCTCGGCCGCATGGAGGTTGGCTGATGTGTAGCTCTCCCGTCATTCCAAATATATGTTCTAGTCCAAAGAGGGTTACCACGATGTCCTGTTCAACTGAATGGCCCACATTCTTTGCCAGACGAACATGATATTAGAACCCAAAGTTCTAATTTCATAAGATGAGGAAAGCCAAATTTCCCAGGAATACACAGATATTTAGTAGGCTGCGGCAGCATCTAGCCCATGCCTACTAGCAGAGCTGGCAAATTAGCCCTTGGGAGAGCCAAATATTTCGCCTGGACAAAATATTTTGCCCTAGAGTAAAATCATAATGCCATTTCGAAATTGGTCCTCAAAGGGCAAAACCTTATAATAATAATTTTACCCAGGGCAAATATCTCTGGCAAAAATCCTTTTTTATCTCCGAGGGCAGAATTTGATGATTGGTCTCAATTGAACCCCAAAACAAATAAGGCCCCACGAGCCCGAGACTATAGAGACTACCCAAGTTGGTGGCCTCACGGTTAGTCAAGTCAAGTCAAGTTGCGTCCAGGGTTGCTCGCTCGAGTTCCAGAACTCAGACTTTGGGCAGGAGACAAGGCCCAGGATGGGTTTATTGCGAGGATTTTCGTGGTCGAGGAGTAAATTATCTGAAAATTTCAAACACAACTCCGGGATGTTAAAGCCTCAAAATTTAATTTAATTTAGTGTTTTACCCCCGAATTAAACTTTAATTTTTTTGACCCAAGGGCAAAATTATTTTGATTTAGCCCTTAAAAGTGCCCAGATTTTGCCCCAAGGATTTAATAAAGTCCTCATTTTAATTCTGCCCATTTAGATTTTGCCCTCATAAAGGACAAAATTATCGAGGGAATATAATTGAATGTAATTTATTTTGCCAGCCCTGCCTACTAGGCAATCCCACCGACTGGCTGACATTCACGGTCCCGTCCAACGATTTATTTGACCGTTTCCCTAAATGATGCCGATGTTGAGCGGCCGCTGCCGTTCGCTCCGGAGCCGCGTTGTGCCAAATAACTCGCGAGGGCGTTAAACAAGCCGTTAAAAGCAAGCTAGAAACGTCCGCTGACCTGCGCTCATAAATCGGAAGCGATACCGTTGTGATACAGTCCTCCCGCTTCGCTGCTAGTGGCCACTACCCTTCGAAATTTCTTGTTCCCCCTCGCCGTTAAATTTGGTATCTATGCCGAGTGTGCAAAAAGCTGTACGGCGATCTTTTTCCTTTTGAGTGTGTTCTTTTTTGAAGGGAAACGTAGCGGAGAAAGATGTTTCGGCGACGTGGTCTCTTTCACGACCGTAGGGTTTTGGGCGTCTGCCAGACCTAATTTTTTGTTACATTCTCTCGCATTCTCTCCCGTAAAATCCCATAGGAAAGAAGATCATCGTAGAAAGCTCGCATCCGAGGTTTATGCAAGTTTTCGAATGGGGGCGTTATCCTTTTCTGATGCGTGCGGGTCGGGTGGCGGAGCGTGGATGTTGCGCGACGTGTTGCACCTCTGACCAGGCCGTTCTAGTTCAAGTTCAAGTTCAAAGATGGGACGGGCGGGGCGGTCGCGGACGCCGCCTGCGGGCGCGCGATAGGCCACACCGCACGGCGTTCCTGCTCGACAGGCCTGCCTACCCCGCAGGCGCCCGGCCCATTCCGAGGCCCCGGATAGAATGGTCTCGGCTATAGAGGCCACAACTCCGGCAATCTTGTGTACACTCAATCTCCGATAATCTTTAGCAATCTCTTGGCAACCGTACCCTTAAGTCATGCATTTGCCTACATTCAGGGCGCAAGTTGTGCGTTTTGCCAAGCTACCGTTTTATATATGCCTCTACAGCAAAATATTCGTCTAGCAATCTGGCAATCTTGGCATACACTCTACAAGGGAGTTGAGGTGCCCCCAGGTCACGGAGTAAAATTCAGACCCAGGCCATTTCAATTACTTGGCCCGCCCATGCCCATCCCAGCCCAGTCTATACTAATGCGGCCCTTACGCATGTATCGGTTGGGTCTACCAGATCCACCATAATACGCAAATTTCTGGAAGAGGTAAGGGGCCGTTCACAAATGACGTCACGCACCCTTAGGGGGGGGGGGAGGGGGTTGGTGCTAGCGTGACCAAATGTGACCATAGGGGGGAGGGGGGTAAAGGCTTGTGACGTCACGCCTTTCACTACTTTGCATTGTTTGTTAAAAATACGCTAATTCTACCCTGTCATAGGTATTATTAACCGAAAATAGTAGCACAGACCGGTCGACCGCGGTCATTTAAGAAGATTTTTAACAGTAAAATGTAGCGATTTGAGCCTTCTGATTTACCTTCAGAGCAAGGGAGAAAAACATAACTCAAAAGAAATCTCAAGTTTTCGGTAAATATGCCTATTTGTGACGTCACGCCAGGGTGGGGAGGTCGGCTAAACCGTGACGAAATGTGACAATAAGGGGGGAGGGGGGTCAAAATTTGGCAAAAACAGAGTGACGTCATTTGTGAATGGCCCCTAAGCGGTGACCCAACCGACCCGCGCCCATCCGGGGCCTCTAGGCCCTAGGCGGCGCGCGGACTCCGCTCCAGGACTCGCACGGCCCATTGCAAATGTATGCGGATCAGGAGGACCAGGCTGCCGGTGCTCGGTGCCGGAGGCGAGCGGGACGGTCCCGGGGAGTTACGGCCTGCCCGGCGAGGCCCCGCCCGGGGGCAGCGACTGTAAAGAGGGTCATTTGGCTGGGCAGGACGAGCCGAGGGCAGCCGGGCCTTATGGGCATCCTCCTCATGAGCCGGGCTGGGCAATAAAGGGTGAGGAGGTCCCAAACGTCCTCGCACATTCCCGACGACGGTGACCTGCGGGCCGCGTCAAAGAAGGATGGGGGAGGGGAGGGGGATGATGACGCGGTGATCCAGATCCAAATATGTATAACGAGGCTTTCTTGTCCTCTTTGTGTCTCCTGCTCGGTGTTATCGCGGCGCCTTCCAAATTTATGCGCGACATGGCTCCGTGTAGCATACCGGGCGCGCGTTTGCGTGTGTGTGGATGCCCGTGGAAATGAAACGATTTTCACGCTGTTGTAGACCGTTTTATATTCTCGGCTGATTCGCCGCGCGGATCGAGAGCGATCGCGTTGCTCGATTTTTGTATCGCCTCGCCCGTCTGATGCACTCGGGTGGTCCTCCTGGCGAGGCCTGGCGCAGCTGCCATGGCGTTGACAGGGGGCCGGAAGGGGGGGGGAGGGGGTCGCGCGCTCTCGTTTGGCGCGGTCCGGTGTAAAGAAGTGCAAAAAGACGTGGCGCGGCAGGGCGCGCGCGCGCGCGTGGTGTGGGCGTGGAGGCGGTGTTGTTTGGACACATTCAAAAGGTCCCACCCTGTCCGCGCGCTCCGCAGCCGAGGCGCGAGGCGGGCGGCGTGGTGTCCGCGGGATTATGAGGAGTGAATCACGGCGATGGGGGGATAAGTCGGCGCGCGGACTTTGTATAGGTGGTCGCCGTGCTGCCGTGTGCTCCGGCCGGCTGGCGCGACGGCCGATAGGAGGCGAGGAGTGAGCCGTTGAGATCGCGGAGGTGAGAGAGGGGCTCACATTAGTGGCTCTAATTACCCCCGAACACTCCACTCGGGTGCAAGTGCTCTAGTTGGGCGCCCGGAGCGTCCGCGCTGACGCAACGGCCCCCGCGCAGCAGCGGCGACCGCCCCGCCAGGTGTAAGTGTCCTTGCCACGCCCCGCCCGCCCCGCCCGCCCCGCCCGTGCGTACCGCGGCGTTGTCCGGGAGCCCCGCCCGCCGCCCGTGCGCCCGTGTGAGAGTATGTGTCCGGCGGCGCGCCCCTCTCCCCCCTCCTTCGCTCGGGATCTTGAACTTGTGTGACGCTGGCGGCCAAGGTCCGGGCGGCGGCGGCGGCCGGCTCCGTCTGTTGCGGAGAGACACATTTCGATTCCGGCCGGACTGGACAGGTCGGTCCGACGCGGTGACGACGAGGAGGAGGAGGACTGCGCTGCTGTGTGGTCGTGATGGTCCTCCCCCCGGCGCCGCGCCGACAGTGTCGCTGGCGTCGTGCTCTTATTGCAGCCCTCTCTGTTTGCGGAAGGGTTTTTAACTGGCTAACCCGGCCGCAGTAAAGTGGCGTGTTCTCGGGCCGGCCGGTGTATTGTTTCTTCGAGTTTAACCCCCCCCCC